ACTTATAAATTAAAAATTTCAAAAATTATGGTTTTCTGGAAATATAAACAGTTACCCTTACAGTCAGATATGACGAATGTTTAGCAGAATTTCCAGACTTATTATCTTCTTTTGTTTTTTTATAAGTCTTATTCATTACTGAAAACTTCGATAAACACTGATGATCTGTAATGATATATCCGTGAGATTTCAGTTCAGCACTAATTTCCAGCCATAATATTTTTTGCGACATTTTCCTACTAATAAAATCCATTTGTCGTTTTTCATATTCATCAAGAAGCAAAAGAATAGCTTTGTGGGGCCATTTAAACGCTGTAATAAACAATTGGCTGTTAAATTATATGCATATTAATCGATTTTGTTTTGTCCTGATTAAAATTACCTGATTCTTCACTTGCAATTCTCACGGATTCATCAATACTTCCATCGCCATTTAAAAGGGATTGTAAAGTTTTAGGTTCATCTGTTTCGGTTTCCAAATATTTACCATTACGTAGGTGAAAATTGAATTAATAATACAAATTTAAACTTATCATGACAATAAAATCATTTTAAAGTATCTAACGATTTCATGGACTAAAACCCAAAATATTAATGAAACCTACTGCTATTAATTTGAGCAGATTGTTTAGTCTCTTGTATTTTCAAGCTTGCATCTGAAATTAATATAAGCCATTTCACCAAAAAAAAAATAAGATTTTTAAATAGTTTAACAATTGATGGAATCGATTAAGGGGGTCTTCCTATGTGACGGCCTGTTTTTTAGGGATATTTTAGAATGTTTTTTCTACGACCAGTAAATAGTTAGAGCTTCAAGTTTTTTATCATTTACTAATACATATTTGGACAGTATAAATATAAAATTTCAGCTAAAAATATTTAGTCAAACTAGAGTTACAGCGCTCTGAACACCCACGCCTCGAAAAAAAGAGCTCCCACTGTCTCCACGATTCCGGAGACGAAAAAAAATAAACGGCGTTTTAATTTGTAGGCTTAAAAGCACGGAATGAACTACAATCAAATGAATATAAAAAAAATTGGATGTTTTATAGACATTTGAAATAAAAGTTGCAAATTAGGCGTCTTTTTTTTTTGTTTTTTTGCTATAAAAAAATCGAAGTTTCGAAATTTTTGATCGATAATAGTTCATTCCATGCGTTTAAATATATTGAGTGTGCCCTGTAAATTTCAAGTAATTCGGTCCAGCCGTTTCTGAGATACAATGGAGACCAGTTTGAAAAACATAGTTTTGAGAAAAACGCGTTTAAAGATAAAATGATCGTTGTACTATATACTATATGTATACTTTTTAAATGGCTGTAACTCAAAAACTATCTGAGATATCGATTTGAAATTTTAATATGTTATTTTTAAAGGTATAATCTACCGAAATATGAAATAAAAAAAAATTCAATTTTTTCAACTCATCACATAGGAAGACCCCCTTAAGTCACTTATTACTTAAGGATTAAAACGAAGTAGATTTTTTTTATTTATTTATTTAGCCATAAGAGATTATGGATTGCTTTATACAATTATGCCTATACATATATATAGGATAAGGTTGCGCAGCCCTGGCGCACTACGTCAGGTTGCGCATCCCTGTCATGCACCGTTATCCTATGGTATGAAACCACAGCGCAGCAATACTCGGTCCTTCGTTTTGTGAGGTGCTCATTGAGGTCTGGTTATATCCGGAAATTCTTGCAATAGGCTGTTGTGCTCCTTTCGCAGTGTTTTAACAGTTGGGACGAATGCGTCCGTTACTTTTCGCGTCATTTGTGCTCTTGTATCTCCCACTAGGAGTCGTTTATTGCGCAGATCTACCAACAGGTTATAGAATGATAGGAAATCTGCTCCAATGATGGGTTTTTCGACGTCGGCTATCACAAACCTCTAAGAAAAATTGCGTCTTAGGCCGAAGTTCAAAATTAGCTGCACTGTCCCATAGGTCGCCATTTTCGCACCATTTGCCGTATACAACATATATTCGGTACGCGGATGCTGCCCTTTCAGTTTTCTGCGAGGGTATACACAAAGATCCGCGCCCGTGTCGACTAAGAATTCTTGTTTGGATGCTGTTAAGGCGCGAAGCTTAAATTTTACTTCGACGTCTAACTGGAAGTTGTCGATTTACTTATTCTAACCACTACACTTTAAATTTGTTTTATAATGGAACTGCTGGTGTGATCGGTGATTATTTAAATAAAATGCGACGTTTGATATTAATAGATTTATTATAAAAAAAATATGTTGAATATAAGGGCATCAGATAATTAGTGTTTCTATGCTGAGCTCTGAACTTATACTGATTACAAAAATAGTAAAATTAACATTAATAATATTAGCCCCGCCCGTAAGAGGCGGGTTACATTATTTTGTACATCTACGGGGGATGATATCTTGGACTTAATAGATGATTCCTTGAAATGATCTGAAGGCATTCGCAGACCTATAAATAAAATTACCGACGCCGATATAGACAGTCCAGACATATAACTAACATCAAAATAAAAAATATCTTATATTACAAATGCATTTGGCACTTGAACTGTGAATGACATTAGACCACCTGCATCATAGTCTGCATCGCCAGGCGACAGGCTATCGTACCAGAATACGAGACGATACGATACCCTTACAAAAAAAATAATTCAGACCACCACCATTGGGAATCCTTAACATGGCGGCGACCTTGAAATAATCTTAATATTATTTCGAAATATTTAAATTTACATCAAAATCTTAATCGAGTTAGTCTAATACATCATATAACAAAGTTTACAATATAATTAATAATTCATATAGACATTAAATAGACACTGCATCTAAGTCTTTGCTTTACATTTAAATTATGTGTTCGACTAGCAAAAAGAACTAGTAAAGTATAATAATATCATTAATAAATAATTACACTATTCCACATTTATGAAATAAGTTGTTAAAATTGAATGTATTCAATTCATTATCACTACACGATTTCGTTATCATTGTCAATTGGTAATACACAGTCACAACACGAATTTTCCCATCCTCAACTGGATGTACTTCGACAATGCTGCCTACACGCAAATTTAGAGGAGGAAAATCATCTTCGCGAAGTAGAAGCATAGATCCCACATTTACTGATTGATCTGCACAGCCCGTGCATTTTCTTCGATCCTGTAGCTCCGATACACGCTGTTTATGCCAGAGTTTCCAAAAACGTTGCGTCAAACGCTGAAGGTGGTGGTAGAGCCTATTCTCCGGAACGTCAAGTACGTTTAGGTCGGGAATGGTTATAATGGGTTTATCAAATAGGAAGTGACCAGAGGGCACTGACATAATTTCAGTTTGTGACAAATATGTAAAAAATCCTTTAAATATATAAAATGCATTTTCTAAAAATCGAATGGAATGCTTCAAATGCGGCATGCATTTTACATTACAAATAGCACCAAAATGTGGTGATTTGATGAGAACGAAATGCCAATTAATTCTGTAATGTATGATTAAGTGAATTTTCATAAACTTCTTTAAGTTACGTTTGCATAAAATATTGGATGGTATTTTGATTTCTGACGACGCTCCAATAAATTTTGTGTCGTTATCTGAATTAATGCTAGTAGGTTTTTCTGACGCATAATAAGTCGTCTGAGCATAGCTAAAACCTTCTAACATAAAATTTGATACAATTTTTAACTGAATAGCGCGTACTAAAATGAATAAATCGGGATATGTATGCTCTGATTTTTCTAAAGCCCTTAGTACGACGATCTCTCAAAATAATCGGACTTCTGAAGTCCACCCCGCGACTCGCGAACGGCAACAACAAAGTCATGCGTTTTTTCGGTAAATTTTTCATTAACGGAAAGAGAAAAGGATTGACCACGAAGCATGTGTAACAGTTTCGTGTCACCCTTTTACATAAATTTGTATCGCCAATGCGCAAAATGCCATTTTCGCAATGCGTTTTTGATTCTGATTTAGGTTTTATTGGTCTGTGCTTTAAGTTGTTAGACCTTTCAAAACTACTATTAGAAACTGAATTTATTGCAAAATTGCAAATAGTTTCACTAGACGAGTGATGCGATTGGATTATGCTTGAAATTATCCAACCCAATGCAGTGTTTTGCAGAATCGTGTTAGTTTTGCTCAATTTAATAAAACCCATTCGTAACAAACTCCAAAATAAACCCGCTCCCAATAACATATCTATCCTACCGCTGATATTATAATCTGGATCAGCTAATTTTATTCCGGGAGGAATTTTAAAATGGTTTGATGAGAACGAAATCGCGGGTATATTACTTGCGATTGAATCTAAAATTAAGCACGATATATTGCATGAATATGAGCTTATATTTGATTTTATCTTAACTTCGATTTTGCTAACAATTTTTGATAAAGCCTGACTTATACCTGAAACGGACATATTTAACTTCTCCGTTTTTAAAGCAAGTTTCTTTGAAAATTCCTGTGTTATAAAATTTGACTGTAGACCGTTGTCCAACAAGATTCTAGCAGGAACCCATGCGTGGTTTTTATTTAATATCGAAATGACCGCTGTTGAAAGTAAAACCTGTGATAAATTTACATTACTAACAAATAATGTGCTAGGTATAGATTCAATCAACGGATTTGCTAGCTCTTCACAATGCAATAGTGTACTATGTTTTGCATGGCAAACTATGCAACGAATTAAAACTGAACAATTATCTATTTGATGGTTTGTATTCAAGCAATTTGTACAGATTTTTAACTGCTGTACTTGCGATATTCTTTCATTCACTTTTAATTTTCTAAATTCTTCACATTTAAATAATGGATGACTTTTTTTACATAATACACATTGCAATGCGTTTGAGATCGCATAGGATCTTGTAACTTTATCGCTTTTTAATGAAACTTGTTTATGCGATTCGATAGTTGGTAGCTTTTCATAATAAAGCGATTCAAATACCTGGCATCTATAATCTAGGAACTTTACCAGATCAGAAAATTTTGAAATGTCTGAACCTTTATTGTTGGATAGCTTTCATTCGCGACGAGTTGCTGAATCCACCTTCGTTAATATTAAATAAATAATTATTGACAGGCTCACCTAACGCTTCTAAACAACGTAAATTTTTATTGAAGCTATCCACTAAATTTCTTAACATTTTAAAATCTTCTGTCTTTATTTCAGAATGATTAAATAAACTTCTAATATGGTTATTTATTATTATTTTTTTATTTTCAAACCTATCTCTAAGCAATCCCCAAGCAATCTCATAATTTGCTGACGATGACGGCAGTGAATGTATGACGCTTGCAGCTTCATTTTTTAAGCAAGTTTTTAAATAATAGAATTTTTCGGCCTTGCTTAGATTGGTATTATTATTATGAATTAATGCCGTGAACGAATCATAAAACTGTAACCAATTACTATAGGAACCGTCAAATGTTGGTAATGCGATATTTGGAAGTTTTATATTATTGTTGAAACTTTGACTTTGTTCGCTTCTAATATTATTATTACTTAAATCGGTTTGAGGTATTTTATTTTTTACTTGATTGAAATTATCTGTTAATCGTTTGCTGTCATTTAAGACACTAATTAAATCAATGTCGTATAATTCAGTTATTTTCTCCTCGTCGTCTAAGACATTTGCTAAATTATTAATAACATTTACGTAACTTTCCTCCAAAGTGTTCAACTTATTTAAGTATTCTTCTATATCCCTAACATTTAAATCAGACAACGGCCTATTAATTAACTTGTTACATGCATTATCTAACACCGTGAACTGCGCTTTTAATCCGCGTTTCTTATTTCTTAATGATTTTACCGATTCCATTTTTTATCACAGACAAAAACTATTAACAAAAGGATAATGAAAGGGTATTTGAAGGAAGTACCTGAATTATGCAAGCAGTGCAACCCTCGAACTTGCTTTCTGTCTGTGTATGTTTATCAGCTGGTACGGTTCCTTTGTTTGTATTCACGACGTTTTTACGAATTTTATAATAATTATGTGTTAACTGTATTTAATTTCAATATTTGTTAACATATATTTCATCTGATTATTTGATTTATTTATTTAATAATTTTATTTATTGTCATTATTGAATTTAATAACATAAATTTTTGTTTTTCTTTAATTTCATAATTTGATTTATTATGTTATTTTATTTAATAACTTGAATTTCATTTATTTATTTGCAATATTATTAAATTTAATCACTTTCATTCTATTAATTTGATCTTAATTTAATAATTATTCACTTCAATTTAATAATTCGATTATATTTTGTTACATTAGAATTATTATTCTTGACTTTAGTGATTTTATATATGATTTTATTTAATTTAATGACTTGAATTATTAAATCACTAATTATTATTTTAGCGGACTGTATGTTGCTGGTTAATTAATTTACTTGAACGTTCAAAAGATCACTTAAAATTATTAAATTTGTGTCCTTTGAAAAGTTATAAAAGTCCAAATGATAAATATCCGGCTCGAAGGACCAAATTTTAAGGCGCGAAGCTTAAATTTTACTTCGACGTCTAACTGGAAGTTGTCGATTTACTTATTCTAACTAACCACTACACTTTAAATTTGTTTTATAATGGAACTGCTGGTTGATCGGTGATTATTTAAATAAAATGCGACGTTTGATATTAATAAATTTATTATAAAAAAAATATGTTGAATATAAGGGCATCAGATAATTAGTGTTTCTATGCTGAGCTCTGAACTTATACTGATTACAAAAATAGTAAAATTAACATTAATAATATTAGCCCCGCCCGTAAGAGGCGGGATTTGTACATCTACGGGAGATGATTTCTTGGACTTAATAGATGATTCCTTGAAATGATCTGTAGGCATTCGCAGACCCATAAATAAAATTACCGACGCCGATATAGACAGTCCAGACATCTAACTAACATCAAAATAAAAAATATCTTATATTACAAATGCATTTGGCACTTGAACTGTGAATGACATAAGACCACCTGCATCATAGTCTGCATCGCCAGGCGACAGGCTATCGTACCAGAATACGAGACGATACGATACCCTTACAAAAAAAAAAATTCAGACCACCACCATTGGGAATCCTTAACAGATGCTTTGTCAACCACTAATAGGCGGCTTGTTGAACTAATTAATTGACAGTCATGCGCCGCATTCATTGACTGTCGTTTATGTTTAAAGATTTAAATGAACAAGGTTCATTACACTTCCGTGCTTTAGCTCCAAATCTTGAGTGGTACTGGCAATAGCCACGTAGAGATGGATGCACGACTTTCGACCTCGATGGTAAGGTTCGGTACTTGGCTTGGGTGAGGGCTTCAACTTGTTTAGCTAACAAGTCAATCTTCGAATTTAATGTAGCGTTTTGGTTTTGAAGCTCTAAAATTTGTTCTGAAATGGCCTTATTCGTTTCTTTGGACGTAGATGGCATTTGTTTACTAATTGCTTGGATTTGGTGCTCCAGCGATATATCGGCGATTTTATCCGCCATGTCTGCTATTTTATCTAACTCCGATTTATTTCAAACCAAGACGGCTCAACGCGGAACGCCTTCAAATAGCTAAAACAGAATTTGAAGAAATGGTGAAGCTCGGAATAGCTCAACGGTCAAACAGCCTCTGGGCCGCGCCGCTTCACATGGACCTAAACGAAACTGCGGATGGCGCCTGTGCGGAGATTACAGGGCACTCAACGCTCTTACTATTCCAGACAGATACCCGGTAAAGCACATTTACGATTTTACGCGGCATTTTCAGGGTATGAAAGTTTTTTCAAAAATCGACTTGGTGGGGGCTTACAACCAAATTCCGGTCAACGATAGAAGGATATACCAAAAACAGCAATTACAACTCCTCTCCGACTTTTCGAATTTCCTTATATGACCTTCGGACTTCGTAATGCAGGCCAAACCTTTGAAAGGTTTATCGACGAAGTCACACAAGGTATAGCTTTTAGCTATGCTTATATCGACAATTTGCTAATTGCATCAAGAACCCACGGAGAGCATGCAAGGCATCTACGAAGCATTTTCGAGAGACTTCAGCAGTATGGTATCATAATCAACTGTGGAAAATGCATATTTAGTGTCCCGGAAATTGACTTTTTGGGATGCACAGTCTCTAAAGATGATATACGCCCAATTAAGGAACGAGTGTAAGCTCTTGTAAGAATCATACCTCTTACTAACAATTTCAATAGGAGCATCGCTTCAACAACAAATAGGGAAAACATGGCAACCACTAGCCTTCTTCTCGAAGAAAACTTCTAAACGCCAATGCAAATGGCCAACATACTACCGAGAACTTCTAGCAATCTTCGAAGCTATCCGACATTTTAGGCACGTTCTTGGTGGACAACATTTCGTAGTATACACAGAAACAGGACGAATTGCCCCCAGTTCAATTGAATCAACTAACTTTCATAGCACAATTTACAACGGAAATAAAGCACATTGAAGGAAAAGAAAACGTCGTAGCTGATGCTTTATCCCGGATCGAAGAATTACATGTATCGTCGAATGCATATTATAACACAATCGCAAAGGAACAACAATCGCAATATACCATCAACGTATATTGCGATGTATCCACTGAAATTCCAAGACCTTTCGTTCCGAAGACGTTAAAAACAAGTTTTTAACGCACTTCACAATCTAAGCCATCCTGGAAGAAACGCCACAGTGATAATGGTATCCCAACGATTTGTTTGGCCGTCAGTGAACAAGGACTGTCGAGCCTGGACGAGGGAGTGCATTCCTTGTCAACGCAGCAAAATTCATCGCCACACGCGAGCACCGCTTCGTAAATTTTTGCTCCCTTCCCGATGATTTTCTCACATACATTTAGATCTGATCGGACCCTTTCCAAGCGCACGAGGATTTAAGTATTGCCTATCAGTAATATGTAGATTCACAAGGTGGCCAGAAGTCATCCCACTTCGATATATCACAGCCGAGTCAGTGGCGCAAGCATTTATAGAGGGATGAATATTTCGTTTTGGCTGCCCCACAGAAGTAACGTGCGATCGTGGAGTCCGGTTTAAATCTCGCGTATTTGACGCCATTGGTAAATTTACAGGGTCGAAAATAACTTACACCACAGCTTATCACCCCAGCGCAAACGGCATGGTAGAGCGTTTTCACAGATCCTTTAAATCAGCTATTATGTGCCACAACAATAAGAGCTGGCTGGAATTACTACTCGAATTGCGGTTGTATGGAAGCAAGACTTGCAAGCTTCTCCAGCTGAAATGGTGTATGGCGGACCTCTTCGGCTTCCAGGAGAATTATTCGAAGACCATCAGAACGTACAAGACACACACCAGGTTCTCCAAAAATTTCGTCAAACGGCCAAAACGCTCAAGTCAACGCCCGCTTCGAATCATGGAAATAATTACAGCGTTGTCCACCCGGATTCATCAACGGCTCGACAAATTTTTATCCGGGAAGACACGATAAGGACAGGATTACAACCGCGGTACACAGGAACATACGAAGTAGTGGGCCGTTCGGATAAAACTATGACAGTGATTAGAAACGGCAAGGAAACTAAGATATCGATCGTTAGAGCAAAACCAGCATATATATTCGAGCCAAACACACTCAGCAGGGGGGAGGGTGAAATAGGATAAGGTGCACAGCCCTGGCGCAGTACGTCAGGTTGCGCGTCCCTGTCATGCACCGTTATCCTATGGTATAAAACTACAGCGCAGCAATACTCGGTCCTTCACTCGCTTGCCCGAACTCATAGTGAATTCAAGGAAGAGAAGAAGACAGTACCTCGCTACATATATATTTATCTATTTCATATTATTTTATTTTAAAATATCACATTTATATAAGAAATTAAATATAAGAGCCCTATTTATCTAATAAGGTCAATTTTGTTTGTATCTGGTAAAGTTTTTTATTTCAGTTTTAAATTTCTTCAAGTTTTACGTATTTTATTTGTTTTAGAGTGTTTTTATATATACTTATATTTATATATTAGTTTTCCGTCTGCCTAGTGTAATGTTCGTGTATATCCTGGCTTGTTGTACATGTTTTGATTTAGTAATAGATGATGAACTACTCTTCTAGCCTTTTAAGGGTGTAAGAAAGCAAAATTGAAACAAAACTTCATCCTTAACCAAACGTAATAAAAATCTTGAATATTTTCCCTTTTAAATAATACATTTATATATACCTGTTTGTAGTCGCTCTAATTCACGGTCCGTAACAGTAATTGTATAATTTTTATTAGTTTCTGGATCAAATAACTTAACAAAAAATAATTGTGATGTATAGCTTGCCATTTTTGCGTATATATAAAGAATTGAACTATTAATGAATAAATAAAATTAGGGTTAGCTTATGCTTTCGTTGCATTCATTTTGACAGATGACGATCACGCTTTCAACTGCCTTACCTCTGCGGTGTGAGCATGTATGAGCGCTAAATATGTGCTACGAGCATGCTACGATGATGCTACGAGCGTACTTATGTGATACTTACAGCGCCAAGTCGAACGATGAAAATGACATATAAGCGCGTAAGCATCCAACGCGAATGCACCCTTAGTAAACATAATCATCTTTTGTTATATTGGTCAATAAAAACATAGTTTGTCTAAAAAGTTTAAGTTCGCATTTTCTGAATAAGTATATAGTTCATCAAACTATAATACCAAGGAACATTAGTGAACAAAGAAACGACATCAAAGCTAACTAAAGAAAATCCCGACGGTATAGTTAGGTTATTGAGAAATTTTGCTAAAATGAAAGAGTTTGAGACATTAGATTTGGATAAAATGATGACCTTAGAGAGAATAGAGCTT